TGTGCGGCGTTTTCCTTGAAGGCCAAAGAATCCTCAAGACTACAAGGAGTTAATGGATGAGTATATTAAGCTTTGCACAGGTGTGTGTTCTATCCTTCTTCTGTTTCTTTTATGTGTTTTTGTTTCCAACTCAGAGATCCTTCATTTATAATTTTATTTCATGGTTCAAGATCTTTCTAAGAAAATCTTGAGGGGCATTTCCTTAGCTCTTGGTGGATCATCTTATGAGTTTGAGGGAAAAATGGTTGGAGACCCTTTTTGGGTAATGCGTATTATTGGTTATCCAGGCGTAAAAGGAGAAAATGAAATTGGATGGTAACTTTTCCCATTGTTGTTTTAATTCAACGATTTTTTTCCACTTTATCAGCTTCAGTTTTGACTCATCTCTTCTTTTTCGCTTACAAAATTCCAGTGGAGCTCACACTGACTATGGTAAGTAAAGCTTGAATTCAAATCAAGATGATGAACATGTCTTCTTAGTTTTTTTTGTCTAAAAGGGACCCATAATTTTGCAGGTTTGTTGACACTAATAAATCAAGATGATGATAAAACTGCTCTCCAAGTAATAATTTAATTATTATTATCTTTCTGATTTTGGTGGAGAATAATTTAGTTATAATTATCTTTCTAATTTTGTGTCGAAGAAATGTTGAGTTTTTTTTTAAATCTTTGAAAAGGTGAGAAACTTGGCCGGCGATTGGATATCAGCTATTCCAATCCCTGGATCATTTATTTGCAACATCGGCGACATGTTAAAGGTTTTGTTTGTTCTATCTCTCTCTGATATCTCTTTCTTTGTTTCAACTTGAAAACATTTTGGGAATCATATTTGTAGATACTTTCAAACGGAATATACGAATCCACACTTCATAGAGTGATTAATAACTCTCCTCGATACCGTGTATGCGTCGCATTCTTCTATGAGGTATGATAAACTTGTACCTCAATTTCTTTATGTCTTCCTCATTTGGATTTTGAATCATGTATCTTGTTCGAACAGACTAACTTTGACGCAGTGATTGAGCCATTGGAAATCTTCAAAGAGAAGTACCCACAAAATAAAAGATTTCAAAATTTCAAAAAGGTTGTCTATGGAGAGCATCTGATCAACAAAGTCCAAACCACCTTTGCAAGTTTAATGGAACACAATTAATTTGGTTGGTTGGACTTGAAAGTTATTTTATCTGAATTTGATTTCTTGGAGGAACAGCTTGGTTACATGATAGGATTGCTCGTGAAGCAAGAGTTTAACATCTTTGGCCCTTGTCATTGGGTGTCGATGTTGGTTATTTGATTTTGATTTTTGTGTTTTGGCTCTGTTTTGTTGGGTTATTTGAACTTCATACTCTGTTTCTTTTAATAAATCTATCCGACGTTTAAAAAATATAATATAATTTGATTTCTATACTAAGACATTCTTGGTAAAAGTTCTTCGGTTTAGTATTATCAATCAGCTAATTTAAGTAGTTTACTAATTTAATTGATAACAATCTTAAAAAATATTTAGGAGAGGTGCATCTTTTTATAATAATTTATAAATCTTATATATTTCATTTGTTACCATTTTTAGTTGTCTTATATAAATGTTATTGAAAGTATGATCTTTTCACCATATCTCTCCGTTTTAAATTTCCACTTATAAATATACCAATTCAAGAAAATGTTTATGAATGTCGTGTATGGTTTATCATCATTTTCATTCTATTCTTATCACTTATACACCATTTTTAAGTTTCTCTAAAAAATATTTTGTGAATATCGTGTCTATTTATTAGTCTTTGTGTCTTTTCATCGTAACATTTTGTGTTATGAAGTTTCAAAAAAAAAAACATTTTGTGTTATGGGGGTTACTTTACCGTTTTCTCGGATATGCACGAAGTACTATTATTAGATTTATCTTACCGGTCTTTTCGTAATATATGCGTAGTATTCATAAAATTCACACAAAAAAAGTCAAATAGAATTTTGTTCAAGAATGTGAACCATCTGTTTTAGAAGACTTTTTCCAAAGATTAGGGTGTTGGGGTTTCGAAGGCAGATGTACCCTATTCCAGTATTCCTGAATAATTTTTTACCAATTTTATAGATATGTATTTTTTATTATCATGATATGCATATCCAAAAAGAAAAAATTCGATAAGATAAACTCAAAAATAACATGACATGATGTAGAAAAGATTCATAAAATAAACCCATAATAAAACTAAACTAATGATTATCCAAAAATATTGACAATGATATTTTTCAGACTTTTTTAAAGAATGTTTTTATTGTCTTACAGAATGTAACTCATATATGTATCCAACAAATTTTCCTTTTGACTCATAAGATGATCAACCCAGAGTTAAGAAGATTCTCCTCCAATAATGTGGATATATGTGTTTTGATGACCAATTTTGTTCAACTAATTATGCTATTAAACTAGTAAC